GATAGAAATGTGGTTTTTCGTCCGTGTTTCCTTTCATGCACCCATTCTGGTTTCACTGCTTATAATCCTGTTAACTGCAAAATACACTGATGTGTGCAAATAGTCCAGAAGTGAATCAGCAGTCCATCAAGAACTGGATGAGGCAAATTCATCTTTTGCTCTATCAAAGTGCATTTGTGCATGTAATACTTGCATAAATGTGCATTTTAACAAATTTAGTGTTTACTACTTCTTGAAGGCACTTACCGAAAATATAATGTTCATTTAGAGCAGCTTGTGCATGCTTTGCAACAGATAAACGTCCTTCTAATCCCAATTGTCTACCTCCTAGTGTGTCTTTCGTGAACGTATTTTCAGTTTCTTAAACGTTAATATTTGACCTCGTGACTGAGTTTGCCACCTGGAAAAAATAAACGTTGAAAAGTGCTTCCTAATGTGGACGGAAAGACACGCTGAACCGACAAAGAAAAAAAAGACGGTGAGAACAAATAAAAGGCTTAACGCGTTTTCCACTCTAACACATTTAACCTCATTCAACAGTGAGGTAGATGTAAGAAACTGTCAGTCGTAATTTGAAGCAGAACAACGGATATATTAAGATGAGCAAACTGTAAATCGCACACCACTTACATTTGCTAAAATTCCGTGATCAGTCGGCTTATTCTACCATGTTTAAAGTACCTGCAGCTTCGATTTTAGAGAATTACAGCTGTTTAAATTGTTTCATCAGCATTTTGCTACCTTAATCCTAAGTATTTATTTTGGATCCGAGGAGTGGGCAGTGTTTTTCCTCATCTACAATGAGGAGGAAGGCAGAAGAATGGTGCATCGGTTTACTGGAAATGCCTGAAAATTTTAAGGAATTAGAATTGCTCACCCACAGAAGCCATTCCCACAATATGTTCACCATAGAGATACTAGTGAGTTCGACAACAAATTAAACCTGTTCGTTTGCATGTTTAGTGTCACCTTGTTCTGCCACACTCACTAAATAAAAACCCAATACATTCACCGAATTCCCCAGATATTTGTTGAATAGATATAATAAGCCATTTCATACTCACGTAAACAGCCATAGCCTGTTTGCAAGAATTCAACTGTCCTATGTCATGTAGTGTCAAAGACCATACTGGCAGTATTTTCTTGCTCAAACCTTACGATTGACTTGTTATGAAATGTGAAATACCGCAAGCTATCTTCTCCACTTGATGATGGCAGACAGTAAACTATTTCAAAAATCACAAGTTAATGAGGAAAGCGTGTCAACACTCTAAACTGTAGGTCCACTGCTCACTACATTGCATAGACACGAAGATGATTCTTTGACTTGTTTTCTAGTTCGAGCACTCTTCCACCACTACGTCCTATTCATTAGTCAATGATGCATATTTTGTCAAATGTGGAAGCGGCAATTGCAATTAGATGTCTAAATCAACAGGGAATCGAAGATTAGCAACGGAAATAACATTTCTGTTGAACACGGCTGTATCAATTATTATTCTAGATTGGCATACTGCTTCAACCGAAGATAATAATTTAGTGGATACGCTTCAAGAAATGGCATTTGTTTACTGCTAACAACATATTGCTTGTTCTTACACACATTCTTGGAAGCTGTGGAACTACAGTGTTGCAGAAGCTTTACCAATTTTCCCTAATTGCACAAGCGACGAATGTTTGCAATTTGGGGAAAGTGATTTCAAAATTGCTGTAAATTGTCCAAAAAATTATTAGAAGCACATGCCTTTTCAAACTAGTGACAGACGAAACTGTGTGGCAACCGGCTGGTGCATCAAATCACTTTCTACAGGAATCACACACCTCAAATGGACACATCTGACCGATTCTATATTTGGTTACTAATAAAGCCTTCAGTAAGCATCACACGTGGTGTTTCGCAATGCGAACTTCGGATTGTCGATGAGCTAAATAAAAGCCTATATACGTCTTGCAGGCTGTAACATCTACAAGTATAACCAGCACCAACACTAAGCACATGCCGGTAGGTAATTGCAATTTTATTCCAAACAAGCTCATTACGGACCAATTAAAATCGCGCACAATAGGCACAGCAGTAGACACAAAAGAGCCATTATACGCGGGATCAGTAGAAAAGTCAATTTATCACGTTTCTTCATTTATTGCAAAATAAGATCCGCCACGCACATAAGCCATTTAATAAGAAGATTTGGAAAACTTCGTCGATGTGTTGTCAATATTGTGATGGAAGATTGGTGAGTTGAATGTCACCTGTGGACCATCACTCGGATACCACACGGGGCATTGAATCGAAATAATGCATTGTTTCCAAGCAAAATGCGCGTTAATTCATGCGCTTATCAACACAAATACTAGCAAAGTTTACGTACATAGCAATTAGAAAGACCACTAATTTGAAATTACTAGGCTTGAAGATTGCAAAATGAGCGAAGGTACCATTCCTGACTACTTAAATGCGTCTCCTTTTATCAACTTGCAATAAATAGTTAAATAGTAAACAAGCAGATGGTATTGTTTGATTAGTGCATATTTGGACACTAAGAGCAAATGCAGTTGATAACTTGCGCGAAAATTCAAACTGTTGCGTTTGTGTGCATGATCGAGACCTTTTTGCCCTGAATGTTGACAAAACACCATGGCCTGCTGCATGCGCAATCCGTGAATTGACTTTGAGTACTTAAGTCCTGTTGGCGACAAATTAAAATTTAGTGCTGCAGTTCTTAGCAGATATGCTGAGAATGAATACGTTGAAGCTGAATAAAGTTTGTTCGATGATATTGGCGTTTAGCATCGGAATTAATGAGGAACTTACGATCGCCTTAGTCAGCTTCGACATTCCTGGCTGCATCGTTTAGTGTGAAAATGCTAGTCATCACGCATGGTATTTTAATATGCCCGAAAGTATAAATGAAATTTTTTTAGAAAGAGTCGTTTTTCGTGGACGTTCCTTGCTTGTAGCTGACTGATGTCCTCTAAACAGGTTCAAATTCACGTTTCTCGGGTCTCTAGCAAAAACAGCCTCTGCGTCCAGCGGCATCACATAAACTCTTCAAATGAAGGCATTTGAATTCTAACGCTTTACTGTGCGCACGATCTAAGTCAATCTTACGTGGTTGTGTCAAAGTTTGACAGCATATCTAGTTCGTTGGCGGACATCTTGCTGCCGAAGACTACTAAAATAATGCGGACGAAAATGCTCTTGCCGTAAATTCCAAAACCCCATTACCTTGTGTTGAAAATACACGTGTGAAATTTTTTTATTCGGTAAATAAGGTGAATATGATTTAGCCATCTAATTATCTAGGCGTATCGCAGTCACTCACACTGAGCACTAAACAACAATGATACAATTCCGAGACCTAATACTGAACATAAACCCTTGAGTCAGCATTCTTGTTTAATATATGGCAAACATTTTTTTAAGGTTGCATTTTCTGAACTCACATTGTAACTTCCTGGATTCTAGTAAAGACTTTAATTTTTCAATGTAAGTGATTTTTGACTGCCGCATTTAGAGTCAGATTTAACTCAATTTTTGACATTTCCTATCTTGATTAACCGACTTGATGTAAAATAAGAATCTGAGCCGTGTGTGAATATGTAATAGAGGTCTTGAATTCTATCAATTCACTTAAAAATCTGGCGTGTTTTTAGGAGAATTCAATTAGGTAAGTCAATAGAAATAAGGTTTTGTGTCCCTGCTTTGTCCCATGCACACATGCTGGTTAAAATGTCTATATTAATGTTAGCTGCAAAATGCACCGATGTGTAGAAATATTCCTAAAGTATATCGGCAGTCGCTCAAGAACCGGACGAGAAAAATTCATCTTGAGCTCTGTCAAAGAGCATTAGTGCATAGAATAATTGCTTTAGTTGTGTATTTTAACACACAATAAATGCTCTTCACTCCTCGAAGACATTTGTTGGAAATATTGTTTATTTATAGCAACAGATAATCCTACTTCGGATCCTAATTGGTTACCGCCTAGTGTGTCCTTCGTGAACTTTTCTTGAGATTCTTAAATTTGATTTATTTGAAATTGGAACTGCCTTCGCCACATGGATAAAAAATCTGTGTAATAACTTGTAATTTAGTGTGAATCTGAGCCAGAAATCGTGAAACCAAGTCACGTTGGATGTGCCATTTTGCATTCAAATTAACAAGGTTCTAACTTTGGCTGAATTATAGAACACCGTCAGTAGTCATAATGCTAAATGTGTAAGCTATAGTTACATATTTAGATCACAATTTAGATTTTAAGAACAAGAAATAGAGCGGTTTTCGTAATTCTAACAAAATTGCAAACTTGACAGCTATAAAAATCAGAATGCAGTGTTTTGCACAAAAACCAAATTGGATTTACAGTTGATTTAAAATACTTATGCAAAACTGAAATTGTGTCTTTTTGTAAAGCCCCGTCATCACAGATTGAGAATTGTCGCTGATGTTTAATCGCTTCAAGTTAACCTTGACCACACTCCGCGGAATTCGTAAGCGGTGTCCAAGTGTGGTTGGGTTAGCTTCGTTTTGTCATTTACGTGATTAAGTTGGAGATAGTCGGTTTGAAGTTAGGTAAGTCATGTGCTCATGTTTATTTTACATTTAGAAAATTCATGACTCATGTGCATTTCCTATTACGATACCTAGTTGAGTATTCCAAATGTTTAAGTTTACCTGGCAAAATCTAATCATCCTCCCAAACGTGAACATGTTACCTTAACTGTATCTTAAAAGTTTTTTTGCTTATATATCGCAATGTTTGACTTTCTTATAACACTTGAGTCCCTAATAATATACTTGCGACCACAAAATCTTTGTCGCATTCAGTTTGGAACGAATTTTTTTACTTAAGGATTCATCAGCATTTCAATGACTAGAAACCTTATAGCATAGGCTAAAACACAAGCTCAGTTTAGTGTTTCGACTATCCAGAGAAGCCGTGACAGCGTCCTGTGTCTATCCAAACAACTTATTTCCCTTTTCACTGTTTCTTAGTAGAATGTCTCAATCGATGGGTCAGCGCTCATTTTTCAAAGATGTTCAGCAACTCTATCGCAAAATTGACACCTCAACTGACGGTCAAGCCTCCATAGTGTCCGTGAATGAATTGTCAGTGATTGTGTCGTTGAATCCGAAATTTGGTCTCAATGCACACGCCTCGTTTATTGTCAAAGTAAGTGTTTTTGAAAGATATCTTTAGACATTATGTGATGTACAAATTGCAACTGTGCCCTTTGATCAATTTTAGAAGCAGCACCTGTTCTAATGCTATGCAGACCACATCGGAAATCGCAAGTGCATGGAATTTAGACAGTCAGTCACATAACTGCCGGATTCATTTCACGTTTATTTATTATGTCAACATGGATACAATTTACGATTCTTAAGGTTTACATAAGTATAAAAAGTCGGTAATAAGGTGCACATGTTTTTTTAGTTTTGTTTCGTAATTGAAGTCCACTTGAGAAATATTTTCAACAGATTACAGTGGGTTTACATTTTTGTTCACATTGAATTCAGCGATGTTTCTTTTTAGTGGCCGCGCGGTCTAAGTGATAATCAAAACAGCTTTTACACAAGTTGCTAAATAATGCAGTTTAATAAAAAAATGTCGAAAATTGCTTAAACCCGTTAAACATGTGTATGCTGCATAACCGCCAGAAATATCTTAAATGCCATTATTTGTTTATTTAGATTTTTTGATGCCTTACAGATTGATTGCCCAATGTCCTATCCAAAAGCCAGTCCTGAAGTCCACTTTATTACGCCAATCTTTCATCCCAATGTCTACCTTGGTGATGGTAGAGTTTGCTTAAGTCTTCTCATTGAATGGCATAGGTACGTATTGCGTCAAGTGTGCATAATTTTGTGCAAATTGACAGTTGGAGTTATTTAAGCAATATTCATTGAGGCATTTAAATTTTAGCTTTTACAGTCTGTTGGATGTGATCAAGGCCCTCATCTACGTCATTGAACATCCAAATTTTCAATTACCAAACAACGACTTTGCATCTGATGAGAAGCTGTTTGACAAAAAGACATTGCGGCTGCTGGCAGGCCTGCGTGTAAATGGGAGGCGGTTCGCACCTAACCAAGCCTGGTGTGAGTGGGCAGAGGCCAATGGATGCCTGCCTGTTGATGACGAAGAGCTTGAAGACAATTTGGATGACGACGGAGGCGCAGTGCATGTGGAGGCTCAAGAGGAGCCGAATAAACGCATTGAGTCTCTACCTGGCGTTGATACTTACACACATGATGCAAGTCAATCGTCATAATAGCATTGTGATTTTACATTAGTTACTAATACTAAGTGAAGCATTAATTTTCTGCTTACTGACAAAGTGCTTGCTGCCATTGATTGGCGCTTGCGTGATCCGAGTTCAGGTCATGTTCGCTTTGTTAAATACGCTTTAAAATAATGAATTCATTAGAGTTGTTTTAGTTATTTGCACCTGTCTGCAGGTTGAGGAAGATGCGAACACCTCGGATGCTTCCTCTGACACAGTTCCATCTTTCGATAAGCCTCGACTCTCTGTCGATTCTCGAAGTGGCAAGTTCTCGGAGACATACTATGTGCAGGACTACTATTGCATCTACTTCAAAACCCAGCGCATTCTCATTGGTCACCCAAGTGTGAACAATGAACCTTCACCTCCCTCGGTATTCTACTACAGCGAGCTCCTTGGTAGCCCCGATCGTCGAGGTGAACTGGGTGATCTCTACAACACTCTGTTTGCTGGCGACGTTTTGCTCGACATGCAGGTCCATCCCGATTCCAGACAAACCTCCTCTCTTTGTCCTTGGTACTTTTACCACAATTCTTACCCCTCCTCCTGGGCCACGGATTCGGTCTTCAATCAGACCAATCTGTTTACATCCCCGGACGCACCGAGGCTTTCGTTGACTGCGGACTTTTGTCCGTGGTCAGTGCTGGATGGACTGGGTACTCAAGACCTTCTTGGTTTGTTGTATAGTGAAAAAGGAACCGGTTCTCGTGAAAGCGATTTTTCTCTTGGTGCCGACGATGATGGTGAAAATCTGGCCCGGATCTACAATGAAAGCCCTCCAATGGGAGGCGACAGCTTTTTCGATGCAGAACTAGAATATTCACCTCAAATTGACGATGAAGCTTTCTCGCTGATTTCGTCGGTAACGTTTTACCGTACACCATCCAAATCTCGATTTCCCCGGTACTCCTGGAGATGTTCTAATGATTTCAATGAAGCCGCCGTATCAATGAATGTTAAGTTGCTTCCACGGTGGCATTGGATGTTTCGTCAGACAAGATGGCCTATTCGATTTGCTCCACAACAGAATATCGAGCTGTCCATGAATGGAATCAGAATCCCGTCTTGGCGAGCGAGTGCCGGACGACTGCTGTCGGATGTCAGTAGATTTTGTTCTGCACACCGTGAGGTCAAGAACCTTGTTCTTCTTGATCCCATGGTAAATTGCCACCTTGTTATCTTTGATTAACTGTGGAACCGTTGCGTACTGTTGTTTTGATTAAAGAGCGTAGTTTGATTTTGAACACCTAGCCTGCTGCAAACTAAACATTTTTAGTTTCGTACTGCGCTGCTGACATGCGAATGTTGTTTTGGCAGGCTTTGTCACCGCTGTCGCCACTGCTCAATCTGATGCGGCACTCCGTGGAACCAAAGGCTCACCTGACTGGTATTCTGTGGATGACCCCAATTGAAGCCATTTCCCCCTTCTACCGCGTTCCCATTCCTCGTCAAGATGAGGACGCGGAGGGAGAGTTGGATGAGCACGTCTATCCGCAACCAGGATATCTGCGATTCCTCACTGTGACCGCCTTTGTGTCCAATTGGTTGACTTGGTTTTCTCGAATCGAGACATACTCGTCTTTGGGCATAACGCGTCACGAGCCATGCCTAATGTGTGAGTCCATGTCGGGATTTGTGTTGCAGCCTTGGAGTTTGGGATGCGGACAGTCGCCACTTATTGATTTGTGG